GCTGTGGCTCAAGTGGTAGAGCGCTAGCCTTGAGCTGAAGAGCTGAGGGACAGCGCCCAGGCCCAGAGTTCAGGCCCCACGACCAGACCCCCCCCCAAAAAAAAAGAAACCAGAAACGGAGCTCAAAGTGGTAGAGTGTTAGCCTTGAGCAAAGAAAGAGCTCAAGAAGGGCACCCAGCCCTGAGTTCAAGCCCTATGACTGACAAAAAGTTGGGGGGAAGGTAAATAAACACCTAGGATGTTTATTTATTTAAGCCTTTTATCGGAAATACCTTGAGATAGAATAGGTGTTATCTCCAAGTTGAGGAAACTGTAGTTATTTGAGAGCTGTGGAACTTGTCCAGGATCTCACAGGACAGAATCTAGGTCTGCCCACTAGTGAATCACACTAGACAGTTCAATGGAAAATCGACTAAGCCCCAGGCATTGAGTTCCCATAGGCAGGGGGCAGGAGGGGAAGAGAGCATTCAGAAATGACATACCCCACTCTGTAAAATCCCTGGATATCTGCCCTCATCTTCTCACTCTCTTTCCTCGGCTGATCTCAAGCCCTGTCTTAACTCCAGCCACTACTGGATCACAGATGGGCTGATTTGTGACTGTCTCTACACTGTCCAGTCTTTATGACTCCCCTGAACTTCAGAGTTATAGACCCAAGTGCCCTCTGCACACTCTAACTGAGGGGCTCTCAGCCTTGCTAACTCCAGAAGTTCAAATCTGAGGTCCTCTCCTCCCTCATTCCTGCTCAGCATCCGACATCCTTGTATAAAATGGTGTCCTGCTCACTCAACACCTGCATGTCATCCTTGCTTTCTGTCTCCCACCCACACAGCCAATCTCTTGCCAAGTCCTATCCATTTTCCCCCTGAATGTCTCTCAAATCCTGCCTTTCCTCTCCTTTTCACACCTTCAATCTCAGGTCAGACCCTAACCTCTGGATAGCAGCCTCCTTCCAGTCTTTCTGTCTCCAGTCTTATCTCTCACTAATCCATCCTTCTTGCAGCCAATCTGTACATGTCCTTCCCTGCCTCAAACCCTTAAAACCCCACGAGGTTCCTCTCTGTCTGAAAGGATAAAGTCCAAGTTCCTTAAAGAGGCTCCCTTTGATGTGAGCCTTCCATAGCAAAGCCTCTGGCTATTGCTTGTCTCAATCTCTTTTCTTATTCTTAACTACAGAGGCTGGTGTGTTCAATAGATCATTAAAATTGTTCATATATTTTTTTAAACAAGGGATCCTTTGTGTGTGTGTGTGTGTGTGTGTGTGTGTGTGTGTGTGTGTGTGTGTGTGAGATTCCTTGGACTTGTATTCATGGCCTGGGTGCTGTCCTGTAGTTTTTGTGCTCAAGGCTGGTGCTTTACCACTTGAGCCACAGCTCCACTTTCAGGGTTTTGGTGCTCAATTGGAGATTAAGAGTTCACAGACTTTCCTGCCTAGACTGGCTTTCAATTGTGTTCCTTAGATCCCAGCCTCCTGAGTAGCTAGGATTACACATGTGAGCCACTGGCCACCTGGCTAAACAAAGCACCCTTCATTTTCACACTGCAATGAACTCCACAATTATATTGCCACTCCTGCCTGCCAGTACTACTCTGTATTCCATTTGTACTGTGTGGTCCGCAAACCTTCCTGCTGTCTCTTGAGCTCTTCCTTTAAGAGTCAGTATGTTGAGCTGGAAAGGTGGCTTAGTGTTGGAGTGCTTGCCTAGCATAAGTGAAGCCCTGGGTTCGATTTCTCAGTACCACATGAACAGAAAAAGCCAGAAGTGGTGCTATGGCTCAAGTGATAGAGTGCTAGCCTTGAGCAAAAGAAGCTCAGGGACAGTGCCCTGGCCCTAGTTCAAGCCCCAGGATTGGGGAAAATAAAAAAAAAACCCAAAACATGAGTCAGTATATTATGTTTGGGATGCTTCCTGGCTGGGCCTTTCCTCCTTTTACTTCCCTACCCCAATTGCCCAATACCAAACAACTCATGTCTATCAAATAAACAGAAGGGGAAAGACAAAGTGTGTCAATGCTACCAGGCATCTGTAAGCCTTGCATTCAGCAAGACACGGTGAGAAGAAAGTACTTCCAGCTGTGCACTGGGGCTCACACCTGTAATCCTAGCTACTCCTTAGGAGGCTGAGATCTGAGGATCACAGTTCAAAGCCAGTCTAGACAGGAAAGTTTGTGAGACTCTTAACCTCCAATTAATCACCAAAAAACCGGAAGTGGAGCTATGGCTCAAAGTGGTAGAACGCAAGCCTTGAGCACAAAAGCTCAGGGACAGCGTCCAGGCCCTGAGTTCAAGACCCAAGACAGACAAAAAAAAAAGAGAAAAGAAAGAACTTTCAACTGCTTTGGAATATGCTGTCCCGATCACGCCGTCCGCCTGCAGAAGGTTTCGCGCCCCCTGGAGTGGTAGAGCGGTACCTGCAGGGACTGGCTCTTGTGCGCCCCTATCGGGACAGTGCCACCACTGCAGCCTTTTCCAGGAACCCCCGCCCCTCTTCGGACCTGAGCCCGCCTCGAGTCTCCGGTTGGCTGTCTCCTGATTTCCCGCCCCTCCCGGGCTCAGCCATTCGGAGCCTCGAGGTGGGCGGGGCTTAAGGCCTGATTGGCTCGGCGGAAGGCGGCGACGTGGCTGAAGGAGGCCTGTGGGTATCAGAACTGAAAGTTAGCGTGGATTGGTGGCGGGACGGGACGAACCGGGTTCTTCTGCCGGAAGCGGAAGTGAGAGTGGAAGTGGAGCAAAGATGCAGGTGTGGAGACGGGGCCTGGGGTTGCGGGAGCTTCTCCCGGGACCCCAGCCCTTGCCTCCCCGGCCTTCCTCCCACACGCGGCGTCTGCCCGCAGCCTGGGGCTCCGGCCCCGCCCGGTGGCGGTTGGGAGTGCCGTGAGCGCTTGCGTGGCGCCTCCTCCGCTCACGCCCCCCTCTCCGCGGTGTTTCCCTCCAGGACCATCAGCACGTGCCCATCGACATCCAGACCAGCAAGCTGCTCGGTAGGAGGGGCGCCTCGCGCCGCCGGCCGTCGGGGGAGGCCTGTGCTTTGCCCCCTGTCGCCGGCAGCTGGGAGTGTTGGAAACCTGGAAATCTAGGTGGAGGTCCTGATCACCAGCCGTATTCTGTGGCCTGGCCCAAGAGCAGCAGGAAGAAACCCTATAGGAAGTCTGCACTTGACCCCTGCTTTCTCCCTTAACGTTTGTTAACATGTGTGATCACATCATATCATTCAGGGGCAGGAGACCCGGCTTAAGTTTAAAGAAGCTTAGTTACTAAGTGGCAGATCTGAACAGGAACTTAAACCCGTCTGGCTCAACCTTCATGCTTCATCCATTATGCCAGGAAATAAGGCACCTCCCTTTTATTGAAAAAGCTCTTGCCATCGTTGTGTATTAGGGAGAAGAGGGACTTAAGACTCAGTTGGACATAGAGACCTTGTTAGAGTTCATTAGACTTTGTCAGAAAACCACACAAACATCCAGGTATAACAACAACAAAAAGGTTTATTACCAGGAAGGGGACCAGCAAGACCCCTTCTCATAAGAGAGAAGTGCCAGCTATTGTCTGAGGTGACCTATATAACCCAGGAGGTTTAGGAGGCAGAGACCTTGGTGTGGAAGTGAGGGCCACGGACTTCATCAGGACAGACTAGGTAGGAGTCCAAGTAGTAGATAATGGGTCTTGCAGCTGCCCAGACCTGAAGGTCACTGTAGGGATCTTGCTGCCTTATATGGTGGTGGCTGTCCCAGAGAAATTCCATCTCAAGGAAAAGTGGGGTTGGAGGCTGATTATTTGCTGCCTTTACTAAATGGGCTTAGTATTGCCTAGGAAAGGAGCATGCTAAGCTATGGGAAAGGGAGCTCATTGGGCTAACAGACCTTTTAGTGGCCAGGCCATGGTTGTGTCTGGTTTACATGTCTCTTCCCCAGCTCAGAGCCGGGGAAAGGTCTTTTCATTCTGACCACATCAGGGCATATGCACAGCAGGCATTTAAAGATATTCACTGGATTTGTCAGTCTTAATGTCATTCTTGGACTTCAGATGATGTTTGACTGTTGCGGCCTTTCGCTCCTAATTCTGACATTTATAATTTTATTTTCCCTCTGAGAGAATAATAAATATTCTCTCTGCTGAATAATTTTATACCTCTGAAAATAAAATTATTCAGCAGAGAGAATATTTATTATTTAGTAATTATTTGATTGTGTGTATCAGTACTGGAGCTTGAACTTGGCTCAGGCACAATCCGTTAGCTTTTATACTTAAGGCTGGCTGTTGCTCTACCACTTGAGCCACATCTCCACTTTCAGCTTTGTGCTGGTTAATTAGAAATACTAGTCTTACGTACTTTCCTGCCCAGGCTGTCTTTGAACCTTGATCCTCAGATCTCAGTCTCCTGAGGAGCTAGGAATACAGGAGTGAAGCCTGAGCACTCAGCTCTAAAGTGCTTTTTATGCACTTGATATTATACAAATATAATACAGGCTAGGGGTATGCCTCCAGCTATAGAGCATTTGCATAGCAAATGTGAGCCCCTGAAATCAAACCCCCAGTACTACCAAAATAAAAATGAAGATCATTAATATTTGTTCAGTTCTGTGTGAGTTTTCCCACCTAGAAAATGAGGGAAAATGCTGACCCTCCTGCCTGAGAGTCATGGAGAAGCAATAGAATTGCTCCAGAAACTTGATAATTAGAATCTAGGACCATCTAACCATGAAGCCTGACTCTTAGTTCCTTCTACTGAGGAATGAGCATGACTGTTAGGCTTAAACACTGAGTTGGGCTCAGCTCCTTGAAGTCAGACCCATTGAGAGTCACGTGTGCATGGTAGCACTTCACAATTAAGGGCAGACTAATGGTATCTAGTCCTTGGGGCGCTGTAGGTATTAGGGGCTTTGCAGTTGCTCATTCATCCGGTACTTGGCATAACTGTTTTATGTTTTCCATTGTTCTAGTTAATCCTAGCCCCGAGGAAATGGAAGTTGAACTGCATCCTTTGTCAACCAGAAAGTTGTAATTAGCCCTAGAAGCAAAATATTATGGAGAATCTAGGATGGTCAAAAGTGGCACTTTCATGTTAGGACCAATTTAAAAGTTTGTCATTATCTTTGTGTTGAGGCAGCTGCTCTAGAAAAATTGTGAATAAAGTCAGGCTGATGGAATCTGTTTAACCCAAGCATCTCTTTAGGCCTGTGTTCCTTTGCATCTTCCCATGATTACTCCCCCCCACTTCCAACCCCCCCCCCACATACCTTAACCAATAACTGTGGCAACTTTTAGCCATTACCCAGTGCATTAGTAATAGGGTTTTGGAGGTGTGGAGGAATGCCATAACTGGGTGTTTCTGATACAGACTGGCTGGTGGACAGGAGGCATTGCAGCCTGAAATGGCAGAGTCTGGTGCTGATGATCCGGGAGAAGATCAATGCTGCCATCCAAGACATGCCAGAGACCGAAGAGATTGCTCAGCTGCTCTCTGGGTCCTGTGAGTACTTTGGGGGGGTCTTGTCACTGATATCCTCCCTTTCCTGGCCCAGTTTGTATCTATGCAGTTACCTCCTTGTTTAGCTATAAACAAGACTGTCCCCAGAGAGAGACAGAGAGAGAGAGGGAGATATGCTGGTTTCAGAACGATGAAGGGGAGAGCTACCTGCCAAGATTGTTTTCGGTACAGTACATGTGAGTCAGACACAGACAGTGGCTATAGGAGGTAAAGACAATGTCATTCTCCAAATCTCCACCCTTCCTTGCTTTCCAGACATTCACTACTTCCACTGCCTAAGAATTGTGGACCTTCTCAAAGGCACTGAGGCCTCCACAAAAAATATTTTTGGCCAGTACTCTTCACAGCGGATGAAGGCAAGTATTTCAGAGGGTTGGTCATGTGCAGCTGGGGACATCCAGTCCTCAGCCCCTCTGGTCTCTCTGAGCCGTCTCTCTTCCCTGTAGCTTATGCCAAATGTAGATCTTTTCTCTGGGCTTACAGTTTCTCACCTGCTGCTTTGAGGTGTGCTTGTTGGTGCCACACTGGTTCAATAAAGCGTTTGGTCTGTCTAGCATGAAGAACTGGAGGAGTGAGTGGCTCATATCACTGGTAGTTCTCCCCTGTAATCTTAGCTACATTCCAGGCTGAGATCTGAGGATTGAGGCTTGAAGCCAGCCTGGGTAGAAAGTCTGAGACTGGGCTGGGAAGGTGGCTCAGTGGTAGAGCGCTTGCCTTGCATGCCTGAGGCCCTGGGTTC